TTTAAAATAAATATATTATATTTTTCAGCCTTGTCCGTTATTGATTTCCTTTAAAATTATCCTGCCGAGAGACTAATCCACTGAACTATTGAATTGGCAGTTCGAGCCATAAGCTAACCCTTTAAATCCGAACACGGACAGATAATCCTGGCCAACATAATCAAGGCAGCACCGTCCATACCAATAGCACAATTGTCCATAATTGGAAGGTTGGTACTTGGTGAAGTCAATGAAATTAAGGATATGAGCACAGTATCATTCCATACATCAGTTGTCGAAGTGGAAGAAATCTTACAAGAATTATTAACAAGATTTTGGGTGCAAGAAGGGGTTCCGAGGAGCATCGAACATCTCCAGAATCTGATCTGATGATCCATCTGATGAACAATGGTGCGAGGTTCATTTCATTGAAACTCACTCGCGAGAATCATTAGGAACGTACATCGTTCAACTTCCAATGAAGAAGTCAATTGAACTCCTCGGTCACTCTTACAACACAGCACATCGATGCCTACATTTTATACAACTATTATTAAAAAATTGATTGATAAATTTTGTAACAAGTGCTTTAGATATTTCGCTATTTGTTGATAGTAACCTTGAATAATATTTTAATGTTTTATATAATATTAATATGATTAATAATTAAACAAAATAAAAATATAATATTATTATATACAAATAATAAGAAAATATTTATGATATTATCTATTTCGATTTATTATTAATAAAAAATGTTTTCATAGTTACGTAAAAACACGATATAAATTAAAATACTACATTTATCTTATTCATATATATATATATATTTGTGTGTGTGTGTGTGTGTGTGTGTGTGTGTAATCGAATATGTAAATAAGATTTTGCATTCATTGTAGAATCATTTATATATTATATTGCGCTTGTTATGTATTGACTATTATTATTAATTTAATATTTGCAAATTATTAATTTATATATTTAAATAACTAAATTGCTGTTTCGTTAAATTTCTTCTTCAAATTCAAATGCATGTTTTAGAGTACCAAAGTATTAAAAGTGACAAAGAAAAGGCACACATAGTCAAGCGAATTCTCTAAGTTCGATAATTTATGATATTGTATATATTAGATGTTTATATGTATAATTTATAATTCGTTGATGTAAATAATTGATATAATGAAGAAGACATGAAGTAAGTAACGTCCCTTCCTTTCCTGGTCTTTTGCAATACTGTCTTTTTTACTTGTAATTAATATTTTTGATTCTTGATTCTTATATTTTTTAACGTGGAATTGCCTTTTAGTTTCTGAAAATAAAATTGAAAAGTTGAATATATACTTTTATTAGGTAATATTTTCTCATTTATAAAACAGAATTAATTCTATATAAAGATGATTTATACTCTAGTTTTAATTGAAAACTAGGATATCGTGTTTCAACGCAATCACTCAATATCAATATATTATTTAAGTATTTATTACATGATCACTTTAAAGCTTTTTAAAATATTTTTAAGCTAATCTTAAGTATTTATTTGGAAATATGTTTTGAGATATATAATAAAAGTATTATCCCTTAAATAGTTATTGGGTTGTATAATTCACCTGATGAATTTATTCATTTCGGTATTAATGTTGCATATTTGAAGAATAAGTGTCAATTTATTCTTTTTAGATTTGTCTGATGACATTTGCTAGACTTATGATATTCTTACGGTCTACGGTCTGAGTGAACAGCATTATTTCTGTTATTTGGACTTCTAGCCTGATTTCACCTGTTATTTTATAAGCCGTGTCCCTTTAGAGTTTAATGCCAGTATAGTATAGGCTCAGAAGTATAACATTTATTCTGCTGTTGCCACACTGTATAAACCGAATGAACAACAATGAATGTAACATACTATTTTATTAATTCGTAGTACATAGAAAATTATGCTTATTGATTCTTATAAATTCAAACGGTAAATGTTAAGTAGTTTGTTATTCAGTCTGTTCAAGTATCAATTATAGTAGATTATTGTTTCTTGAAGAAATATATGGAATATAAATTTATTATTGATAAATAAATTTTAATTTGAAATATTATATTAATAATTTATGAATGAAAACATCACTATCATAAAAGAATTGTAAATAATAAAATAATAAATTAGTTTTAAAAACTGTAAGATAATTCTGAAGAAATATTTCAATTTTAACGATAATCTATAAATTAAAAAGATATATATAATTATGTAAATAATCGTTGTGCTTTGAGTAAGGTTACTTTGCTAATATCTTTTTAAATTGTTTGAGAGTAAGCCGAATTTCAGTAAACTTCGTTAAAGGATTCGTGTCACGTTCCGTTCGCTACATTAAAAAGTATAACCCATAATAACCCACGTCAATTAAGTCGTTGTTGGAAATAGCGGTTTATTTTGTTAAGTTTTGATCACTTTGAAAACAGACATTTTTAACAATGATAAATGTAAGGAAAATCATTTCTAAGCTCTCAGAGAACAATAGTTTTGTTTTTTGTGCAATCTGAAAATACTTTACTTACAAGTGTATATAAAAAGATTCTACATTGTTATTTAATCACGTTATTTATGAATATTTGCAGTTTTAATTTTTATTTAATTTACATTTAATTTCTAGTTAACTATCATTTAGTTATAAAATTTTATATTGTATTCAGTTCAGCAAAAATAAAAAAATGTATGGTATTGTGGTATAGTTGCGTTAATTGTTTTTAATGAACTATACAATCAGAAATATTAATATATATATATATATATATATATATATATATATATATATATATATAATAGTAGAAGTCACTCTATATTTCATAATTTATTTAGGATAAATTTATGTTGTTGTTTTCTATATTATCATTTAACTCGAACGTTTACCTTGCAAAATAAATCTCAATAAATTGAGAACTGTTTGTTGATAAATATATTGTCAAAATTTACATTATATTAACCAATGTAAATGGTATAAAAATAGTAAATTTGATATTACAGATTTTAGTAATTTCTTCAAAATTATGTTAATAAAATTATACAATGAATACAATTATTGACTATATAATTTTTTAAATTATGAGCTCAATTTTAGGAATATTCATATAAAATATAAATTATATAAATTTAATAAAATTTAATAAATTTCAGAAATGATTAATATTTATACATAAATATTCTATATAATATGAATTTATTTTTGAACTATATAGCAAAATAAGTAATCGAATAATTATTAATAGAATAAATTACATAGTTATATTATATACATTTACGTAAAGTTATGCAAATACACTTTAAAAAAATATATAAATATTATTAGAAATAATGTTTTTGAAAAGTATTTTCAATCTTAATTCCAATATAGGAATATTTATATTAAATGATAACTAGAATATATTCATTATAATATTTAAAGTATTATGAAATAATTTATTTACATTTGTTAAATTTAAATATAATATTGAATAGTAGAAATATCATTTGTAAAAAAAAATTTGAATTTTTTAGTATAATTTAATTTGCAAAATTCTTACCTTATGAAGTGTTGACTACCAGTATCGGATACTTAACAATCCTATGTAGATATTTCAAGGTCATTGCTAGAATCATAATCATTATCACGTTGACAAGCCGACTCGAGATGCTTATTTAAGTAAGATTTGAGGGCAAACGACTTATGGCACTTAGAACACTCAAAATTTTTATCAGATGAGTGTGTTTGCATATGAGCACGCAGATTCGATCTATCAGCAAAGGCTTTACCACAATGAGCACAGCCATAAGGCTTTTCACCAGTATGGCTGCGAAGGTGTCCTTGTAACAGCCACGGTCTTGAAAACATTTTACCACAAACACCACAGCTGTGGGCAAGCTTATGAGTGAGTACGTGCATAGCGAGGGCAGGCATACTTACATATGCCTTGCCACAATGAATACATTTTTTTGCGGACTGCGAGTCAATACTGCGATGAGTCTGTTTGTGCCGTGAAAGATTGGATGAGGTAGCATATTGTTTGCCTGTTGAAATTATTAATCACGTTATTATTATAGTCAGATACAATCTATTTCTATTTTTTTCAATAGTATGTAATAAGAATATTTTCATATATACTTAGAATTTAGAATACGTACTTTACACACTTCTGCGAGATCTTATATCTATTCAATATTATAATCAAAAGGTTATTTTAGTTATAAAATATAAGAAAATGATTATTTTTAAAATCTCATGTTGTTTAATATTGTAATCTACTTTAAATCATTATAATTAATTTTTTTTAATTATTATATATATATAATATAAATAAATATATAAAAATTTATATACATAAATTTTATATAAATTAATATAAATTATATATAAACTATAATTTATATAATTATTAATAGAATCTTTAGTACGATGACTAGTTTTTTAATTGAAAATTACAATTTTTGGTATAATTGAATTGTTACATTTTTGTAAACATAAAATCCGTACAACGGAAAAATAGTATTAATATTTTAAGATTATTTTATATGCTGATTATTTGGTTATTATACGAATAATATACGTTAAAAAAAAATCAATAATACTGATGAGATCATTTATTAAATTTCAATAATTATTTATTATATAAATTAAAAAAAAATTAGTCTTTAATATAAGATATTATACTTATACATGCAAGTAAATAATTTTATGAAAAGTCACATTTATTTTATGCAGAAAACTACATTACTTCACATTCCTATAGTATGCATTTTCATATCTTATATATATTTTAAAAGTATTATTGAATGTAATTAGGCATAATAACTTATATAATTTTTCTGTTTATAATATATTCTGAATTAAGAATATTATAAAGTTGTATGTTTTTAATTTTAAATAATCAATTTTTGAAGACAAACATATTTCGTATTCTTTAATTAATAAATATTATTTAACTTATATAGTTTATTCAAAACTTAATTATAAAAATTTATAATATATTTTTATAGTAATTATTCAAGTAGTATAGTATAGCCTAGTACAATAGTAATTATTTAAAGAAAATTTTACAATTTATGTATTATATAATATTGAAATAATATATATATAAATAACTCATTAATATTTATTATATTAAAAAATGTTGATCAATAGAAATTTTTATTTAAATTTGTTTATAAAAGTTACATACCACACTCGTAACACATATATCTGCCTAATTTGGACGTTTCAGGTTGTTCAACGTTTTCAAATTCATCAATTGTTTTTTGCTGCTGCTGACGCTGTTGCCGAATCTGCCGATTTTGTTGGTGTTGTTGTTTTAACTCAGATGGCAGTAACTTGCGATGTTTCAGTCTACCGTCTGCAACAAGTAGTGTATTATATGTATAACTAGCTGCTTTAACTTCTGTTTGATCCAGAACAACTGTTTGGACCTCCTTATCGTGAAGGTTTCTCTGTAAATTTGGATTGCTATTTTCTACATCACTACTACACTCGGAGCTCGGAGGAGTCAACGGTGGCACAGATTCAATCGTCATTGATTGAGTTTCCGATTGCTGATATAAAAATTGTGGCTGTGGCTGTAATTGTGGTTGGATGAGTGGTTGGTGATGCTGCAGCTGCGACTGAAGTGGTTGAGTAATCATTGATGTTGAAATTGCTGGTGTGCTATAGAATAAAATTTCGTGCACTGGTGAAAGTGGAATGAAGAGGTCTCCATGACTCTGCTGGTTCACGAAAAAATATTATTATTAAAATAATGAATTTTGTTTTATTTATATATCAAAAAAATGTAATTACTTAAGTTTAATATAATGATTATAATAGAGAATAATCTAATTCATTTACTTTAGTTTTGTTAATAAATAAATAAGTTAATTTAATTTAACTCGTATTATATTTATTATATTAATATGCAAGTGTAATGTTTAAAATAATTATTGTACAAAATATTTAAAAACTTGATTTTTAAAGGAAATATATCATTTAAATAAATAATTTTTTTATAAGAACATGTTGAACGATTTATTAAATAATAAAATCATTGACAGTTATGCTTGAAACTATTAGTAGAATATCTTTTTATATATAAAGCAATATTTATACTATGTTTTGATAGTTTTATACTAAAATATTTTTGTAGAAATTATAGATATAATTTAAATATTAGTTTTTTTATTATGATAATATTTCGCAAACAATGCACTACTTAAGATAATAAATGTAAAATATTCGTAGATTCGTTTATATATGAATTACATATTTATAATATTTTATGTACTATTAAGAATTTGTTTTTAAAGATTAACAAATATTAATAAAAATTAAACAATCAACTATCTTTAATAAGAAAAGAAAATGTAAATTCCATAAAAAAATTAATAAAAGAAAGTTCATAGAATGAGTTGTATTAATTAGTTTAGCAAGAGTTGTAAATATTAGTAAAACCTATACCAATAGACAAGAAGAATAAGATATAAAAAAGATAGACAAAAGATATACAGAAATGTCTATATATGCGTTCGGGATTGAAGCAGTCCCATGAATTTCAAACAAAAGAAAGGTCATTTACGCAGCCCGGCGTACCGCATGTGCGCCTAGACTGACCGCGCGTGCAGCAAGGCTGGCCACCACGTGCACCTAGGCTGATCCGCACGTGCGGACCGAGGCGGGCACTCGAGAAAATGTTTACAAACAAAACTCGGCAAGTCCGAGCAAGTTTACGATTTGAAATATTATTTACTGCCAGCACTCACAAAAAAGGGACGCCTTCGAAACTTCTAGAAGCTTCGTTTTCTCACGCCAAAGGAAAATTTCTGGAAGGGACGCGCATCGACACTGTTGCCGGCGCTGAAGACGCCGCATGCACATTTAAGCGCAACGCGCCATGAGGCGAAGCTCATTCGTAAATTCACTCCGCTCTCAATCAAGCGTAACTGCCGGTCAGTGCAAGTATACTGTAAAGACGCCGCGTGCCCACATTTTCGACAACATAAGCTCACTCGTAAAGT